AAAAACAAAAAAAAACAAAGCAACGCCAGATACCAGAGCTCCTCCACAAATATGAGGAGTCTTCCTTTCTTCCCTTTTATTCCCTCTCAGGTGCCAAACCTGTGTACGGTGGATTTTCTCTGCTTTTATTGTGTTCTACAAGCCAAGCATCCACAGACAAAAGCTTCATTAACTTGCTGGTGTTTCCTACTTAGCATGGGGACATATTACAAAAAATGATCACAGGGGGCTGGGGATTTAGCTCAGTGGCAAAGCGCCTGCCTGGCAAGCATGAGGTCATGAGTTCAGTTCCTGGTACCGGAGAAAAACAAACAAACAAACAAAAACAATTAATGATCACAAAGACCTAAATGAGTTTTTCTCTAAACATTCCCTTCAGGCAGGCGCTTATGCAGCTGAGCTATGGCCCAGCATTCCCTTCGCAAATGTTTTCCATACATACAAATTTTATTTGGAAGCCAGTGAATGCTTGTAAGTACAAAAGCAAACATCTTCCCATAAAAGCCCTATTACAATCAGAGTCACTTTCACAGAAGGAACAACCCACCAAACCATCTCTATATGAAACAGCTGCTTCCCAACACTCTGCAACTTGTCATAATTAAGAATCCTTAAAAAAAAAAAAAAATAGAATAAAGAATCCTTAATGCTGAACATGGATTTAAAGCATGGGAATAATTTCTCCTTACAAAAAAACCAAAGACACCAAAATTCATCTTTAAATGACAAGATTTGTGGAGAAAGACATTCTTTAATTTATCTTTCAATGTATTACTCATTTGGAACTTCGGGCCTGACCAAGCCATATGACAGTTTGATTCTGGAGGAAGTCTAGCAAAAGCATTCCTGTAAAAGGCAATGATAGCAGGACCTGTGTCCCTGTGGAAAGCCACTGAAATAACACTAGATGCTTTGCTGAGATATGCCTGAAGGGATGATAACATGATGGCTAACTAAGTCAAGTCTCACTCCTGTGATAATTAAGTTGTATTGTCCTCGCCAATGCTGTTAATTATTCCTCCCATTTGCCATGTTGCTGCTTTTTGTTTGTATCCCAATAAAAGCCTAAGGAGGATGGTAATGCAAGCTTCAGTCCAAGAGGCTGCAGCCCCCGATCCCATAACTTTCTCTTGTTTTTCTTTTCATCTGCGGGCACCTTGTTCTCGGGACCTGTCACCCCACACAGAAAGGGACTATACACCGACGAAGATTTATAGAAACATGAATTGTCCACTTTTTCCTAAGCATTGGTAATGCCTTCATTGTTCCAGTTGAATATAGTGGTTGTTAGAATGAAGTACAAAAGGCTGATAAATGAGTACTCTATAATTGGTTACATACATGTGGGCACAGGTTGTCAGGCTGTTTTATTCTGAGCAAGTTAATTGGGAGTTTCTCTTATCATACAGCAGGGAGGTCAGGGGCTAGGGCGACTGGGAAGAATCAATCACCGTCTTAGACAGAGTTGGTCTTTCTCTAGGTGATAAATCCTTGCAACAAGCTAACAAGATACACTATCTGGCTGAGTGACACTCACTTTACAAGTGGCAGGTGGTGCACGTTGGAATTCCAAGGCTAGTTAAGCTTTGCTGTTCTCTAATCATGAGACCAGGCTAGGTTTGCTTGGGCTGTCCTTGAATCCAATGTCTGGCTATAAGGTTTAAAATTACCTTTACATTTAAAAATTGCTTTTATAAGTAGACTCATGTAGTCATTTCTATAACAAATCCGAAGTATCTTAGAAGTTCCTCTCTCTGTCAAAAAATGAAACAGCCACACATTTTTATCTTCTTGAGCTGAAATACATTACTCAATTTAAATCATTCATTTAAAGCAGGGTTAAAGGACATATGATGACATTTTAAGTTTACATTACAGACACAGTTTTGTGGCCATTGATAATAGCATATGAACATATGAACAGGAGAGAACACACATCAAACACTATATTGGGCCAGAGTCTATGGATTATGACCCAAAAGCTTCTAAGATTCTAAAGAAGAAAGCAAGGAACAGAGGTTGGGAAGGAAGTGTGAGAAAGAGAAAAGACAGATAAAAAAGGAGAAAGAAATATGGAGGCCATAGTGTTGTCATAAACTACACCTCTAGCCAAATGTACTCTGAAGTAAGGGTTTTGTGGATAAGGCCTTTATATGTTTATTTAGATCCTTGTTCCTAAGGCCAGATACGAGGGTACTGACTATAGTGTGCAAGACTTTTCAAGAAGCCTTTGAAACTTCCTAAATGGGGACAGAAATAAATGATGAATGAAGAGGCAGAGAGCTTTTACAGCTTCAGTAAGGTAAACTGCACTTGACAAGGACATTTACTGTCCCTCAGCAGAGTGGATCCTTAAGGTGGCAGTCGCCATAGACACAGGAGAATTCAGTGAAACTAAGTAGCCAGTGAGATCTGACACAGGCTGAGTAAGATTTCTTCTCATTACAATTGAAATTAATTGCAAAATTAATGCCCTCACCATGCTGTTCAGTGAGCAGGAGGGCTGACGGGTCCTCTTGATGCATGTGTGAGCTTCTTTGGTTTAGACTGTGCAGTGTTGGGTGCCGTGTTTTTTGTCCCAGCAGCAGACCAGGTATTTGCTGTATATGTGAAAGGACTCCTGAGTGTCTCCTGAGTTTGAAAGTGGACTGGTTCCCGCGGGCCTGTCCTCATCAGTGAAGTCATTCATTGGTGAGTTTCATATCTGGATGTGCTGAGGGAAGGTCTATTTTTGTTAGGTTTGTAGAGGTTCCAATCAATAGTTGGCTGGCTCCAAGGCAGAGTGGCTTGGCAGAGGGGCATGGCACACAGTAAGCTTGCTCATGGCACGGCATCGGGAAGCAGCAAGCCATCAAGGGAGAAGGAGTCACACGCGCACGCACGCAAACACACACACACACACACACACACACACACACACATACATACATATATATGTCCATTTGTGTATATGTCCTCTTAAGTCACACCCACAGGGACCTCCCTCTTCCCAACAGGCTTCAACTCCCAACATCCTTGCCATAAGCCCATCAGAGGAATAATCCACTGTCACCCATGACTCAGCTGCCACCGATGAGCACATGATGCTTTGCAAGAACATTTAGTCTCAAACCATAACCTCTAGTTAAGTACGAAGGAAAGTGGGGAGGGGCTGTAGTAAAGAAAACTCATTTCATATATGAAATATATACTCACTGCTGCATATGCACACACAAATATGCATAATTCATATATATTTCATTCTTCTCACATATTATCACACTAAAATGTGCATATATCCCTTTGCTAAATGCTAACTCAGCCTTCTACGCAGACTCAGTGATAAATTTCAGAGATACCACTGACAGAACAAAGAAGGCCACAAGGCGCGTTCCCAAGAATTTCCATGAAGGCAGTAAGAGGGTCAGTGGCCAACCAGGGCTCTCAGAGCCCAAACTAGCCAATGAAGGCATGAAACTCTCAAGGGAGAGAGCCCTTTCTTGCCATATAATGAAAGGGGCTAAGAACAAAGACCCTCACGAGCCAGCTCCAGGCCCCCTACCTTACTCCAACAAGACAGCTGTCATCTCCTCACATTTCCCTCTACTTTCTGATACACTGATTTTATTTTTCCTTCTTCATTTATATCACTAATTCTTTGGGTAAGATTACAAATTCTAGATTAATATAATTTATTCTCACAAGATACAACATTAGCATAGAAAGCTCTTGTGAATATCCTATGGAACAAGACTATCACTGAAAAAATAGCATCTTTTGAAGTGAGTTCAGACTAGTTGTACATAGAAATAGTTAACACTGGAAAATTAGAAAATATGGGGACACAGTCCTACTGAATTCCTTAAGAAACAACAGAAAATAGAATCATATAAGATGACATACTGAAACAAAGCAGGAGAAAACAACAGAAAGATTATACAGTATTATCTCTTTTTTTCTTGGTACTAGGAATCGAACTCATGACCTCACGCTTGCCAGGCAGAGGCTTATGCTGCTGAGCTATATTCCTGTGTACAGTATTACAAATAGAACAGGGAACACTAAGATGGACGAGTGGCGAGTACTGAGGGCTCAGTCATCCCATAGGAGAGTGATTGGCCAGGAGCCATCTTGAAGAGGGGCCAGCTGAGCTCAGAACTCAGAGAGGCTGCTGGCTCCATCTAGTGGCTCCCACCTTGATGCAGGTTCTCAGAAGGAAGGTGCACTGACTGCTGCAGGCTGAATGGATCTGGTCTCAATCCCCATGGCCAGATTATACTCTGAACCCCAGGGGAAAAAAAGGTGCAGGCTCACGGAGATTGTTCACTACTCCACCATAAAGCTACTGCTGGCTTGCTGCGGTAAACCAACACAGATATGTCACCACAAACTCTACCAGTGACAGCAGAGACAAACCTGGAAGTGGACCTTTTTCTCTCATTTTTTTTCTTGTTTTTTTCTCTCATTTGTTTTGTTTTGTTGTTGTTGTTTACTTCACTGTTTGATCTTGTTTGTCTACGACTGTGCCCATGGATTCTAATCTCTTTGTGGTGGTTGTTCTGTCCCTCCTTTTATTTCTTCCTTCTCTCTTTCCCTCCAGTCTTCTGCACCAGTTCCCCAAAGTGAGTGTGATTCACCCACGTCCTCTGGCCTTACTTCTAATCTCTTGGTCTTCTTCTCTATTTTTGCCCCAGCCCATTTTAAAGTCTAATGCCTCAGGGTAAAACTGACATATGACGGACTTGTATACTGCATATAGCTATCTGGTTTGTTTTAGATTTTGTGAAAGAACCACAAAACTAGTTCATAGGGTTAAAGGTGGCAAATTAATGGTTACTTCAGTTTCTCATTTTGTAAACTGTATTTGATGCTACTGTTACTGGTGATGGTATCACTTTACCAAAAGTGACATAATGGTTCTAAGCAGCTGTTCATCCTGGTATTCCAAGATTTAGATCAAATAAAGGTCATAGAAAATACTGTGTGACCATGCCAAAGAAGCAGTGGCTGGGCAAAGCAGGTGGCAAATTCTCATCCCTAACAAAATGAAGAGGTAGAATCATACAACAGACTCAAAACCCAAAATCTCAGAGTAGTCATTTCCTAAGGGTTCAAAATACTAGCAATCAAGCAACTCACTATAGGCAATTTATAAGCATCAACCCAGGAATTGAAGTAAGAAAATAAATACAGTGAAAGAGAAGACAATGAAACAAGATGCAACCCCACACATCCAGTTCACTAAAGGCAAACATAGCGGGCAATGAGATGAGACAATCTGAAAGCCACCCACCTGGCCTCTCTGACGTGGTAAAAACAAAGCAACTGCATGAGGCTGCAGAAAAAAATCAAATCACAAATAATTTCTCAGATAACTGGTAAGATAATGTGTACAATGAAAGCTATGCTTAGTGACTCTAGAGAATATACAGATTTTTTAAAAAAATAGAATTTAAGAAAATAAAGGCTGGGTATGGTGGCACACACCTGTAATCCCAGCTCTTGGGAGGTTGAGGCAGAGGATCATTGCAATTATGAGACCAGCTTGGGCTACAAAATGAGTTCAAGTTCAGCCTGAACTGCATAGTGAAACCCTGTCTCAAAAAGACCAAAAGAAAGAAAGAAAGAAAGAAAGAAAGAAAGAAAGAAAGAAAGAAAAAGATACACAGACTGACAGAAGGGATCAAGAAGCAAGCTTCAACAATATTCTACATAAAAGAAACACATTTAATTCAAAAAGAAATTCACATACTGAAAACCAAAGGATGGAAAATAATGTTCCATGACACAGGAACCCAGAAAAAAGCAAGGGTAGTTTTTCTTATTGCAGGTAAAATAAATTGCAAGCCAACACTGATTAAGAGAGGCAAAGAAGGGCACTACATCCTTGTAAAGGGAACAATCCAAGAGGAAGACATAACAATTGTAAATATATATGTAACAAATATCAGTGCAGCCAATCATATAAAGTAAATATTAATAAACATGAAAAATCAAATACACACTAATACAATTGTATTGGGGGATCTCAATACCCCACTGTCACAAAAAGACAGATCAATTAGACAAAAAAATCAACAATGAAATATTAGAACTCAACCAAACTTTGGAACAAATGGATTTAGCACATGTCTATAGAGTATTCCATGCCACAATGTCAGAATACACATTCTTTCATCAGAATACACAGTTTAGTTTTGTGGGGTACATCGATCTGGGGTGAAGTTTGTGTTCTTTTTGAGCTTGAAATACTTCATCCAAACTCTCCTTGACTTGAGGGTTTGTGCTGAGAAGTCCGCTGTGATTCTGATGGATTTTCATTACAGGTGCATGAGATGTTTTCCAAAACAGACCACATACTACCTCATAGGAACATGCTTAACAAATGTAAAGGAATGGAAATTATCCCATGCGTAGTATCACACCAGAGTGCAATTACATTGGAAATCAATAACAAAAGAAACCACAAGAAATTCATAAACACATGGAAATCAAATAACACCCTCCTGAACAAACAATGGGTCACAGTTGAAATTAAAGAAAAAATTAGACAGTTTTTACAATGAAATGATAATGACAATACAAGATACCCAAAACTTATGGGGCACAATGAAAACAGTCCTAAGAGGGAAATTTATAGTCGTGAACACCCGTTATCAGGAAAAGGCAGCAAGGGCAAACAAACAACTT